AACCCAAATTTGTGAAAAATGAGCAAGAGTTAACACATTGAAGAAGAGGAAAGAGGCATTGTGGCAGCAGGAACGGCAAGTGAAAAGGCCCAAGAGTCATGCAAGAGTCACTGGGGAGCCACACATCATTTGGGTTGACCAGAGAGGAACTATATATGTCATATAAGTTTTATTCTATAAAGTTTCCGATAATACTTCTGTTGTATTCTATTAAGCTACTGTGTATGTACTGCTAACTAAAGGCCAAACACGGTATGCAATTCCACTTAATACAGCGCTCTGGGGTTAGAATGTAAACCCCAACCGAAAGATGAAGAAACTCAGACTAAAAGGCTAAAGAACTTATCCAGGGTCGTATAGATCTGGCTCTAACCACTTTTATACACAGCCTTTCACTTAGAATTCAACCTCATGAAACTTGTTACCTCAAGCAATGACATAGGCTGAAAACAAATAGAATTGCAGGAATATACATTTGGATATATTTGAGAACCAGATATCTAAGAGAGATTGAAGGAAAACCCTGTTTATAAAGGACATCTTCTCTTTTTGACCAAGTCCTCTGATGGGCTATTCTTTGGCATACATGTCAGGGATGAAACACAATGGTCAGTTTCTGATGCAGGGTTCTTCTGTCACCTGGCTGTCACCAGTCAGCGATCACATTTCTTAGCTCATGATCTGCCCCTGTCTCTGCTGGAATGTCTCTTTCCCCCTTCTTCAATTTGCTGCCTTTTGTTCATTCTTCACAGATTCAGTTTAAGCATCACTTCCTTTAGGAAACTTTCTTTGAACCCCTGGTCTGGTTAAGAAAGGAGGCTTTGTGTTCACAGTGTACCCTGTGTAGAACTCTACAACTGTCCTTATCACAGTGCACTGTAACTTTGGCTTTGATTGTTTCCCTGCCCTCTCACTGCAGTCTGTAAAGTCTAAGATAAGGACATTGCATTCTTCTGTTTCCTCTTTCCTAAGAAAACCTCAGTTTTGTTCAGGTCTCTGTCCCTCCTGCATGTGGTCCACATAGCTCAAGAAAGGCTACCTCTTTCCTCTCACTAATGGATCTGATTGTTTAAGCCAGTGATTCTCAACCAGAGGTAAGTTTTCCCCTCCAAGGAACATTTGACAATGTGTGGACACATATTTGGTTGGCACAGCCAGGGCTTGCTACAGGCATCCACTTGACAGAGGCCAGAGATGCTGCTAAACATCCTACAATGAACCGGACGGCCCCCTATCCCCTCCCCACTGGGCCCCTTGGCCCCATCAAAGAGTCATCTGGCCCCAAACATCAAAATACTACTGAGGTTGAGGCACTCTGGTTTAAGTCAGTGTTTGTGTGACTTTGTTTCCTGATCGTTAACGGTCTAGGGATGAATATGAACCATACGGATTCAAGGGACTGATATACCATGAATGGGAAAAAGATGGGATGATAAAGCGAGAAAGCTGGATTGTGGTTACATTGTGGCGAATTTTAAGTGGAAGACTAAGTATGGTCTTTGTACTGTAATGGAGCAGGGAGTAAGAACCGTGATTGAAAAGTATTTCAGGAGAGTGGGTCTACCATGTCACCCGCAGGATAGATGGGAGTGGGATGGAGCATGACAGCCAGGACCACCTGAGACAGCTATTGCTACATTTCCTGAGTGAGGTGGCATGGTGGGTGGTCCTATTTAGGTCCTTAGTGGTTAGTGTAGTCTCCTACACCCAGAGGGACTCAGGAATGTTTCTTGAATTGTTGGTTTGCAACTGTTTTCTGGAACACAGTAAATAGATTATGATTCTGACCCAGTGTTCTTATTACGTAAAAATCTGTGTCACCTAGATGTCTGTGATTACACGTGGAGAAAAAATAACGTTTAATAAATTCCAAATTTCCCTGTGTTTTGAAAGGACATCATCTTAGGTAAATTTTGCATAAACACTAAAGGCAGTTGGTGTGCGTGTGTGTGTGTGTGTGTGTGTGTGTGTGTGTGTGTGTGTGTATGTGTGTAGAAATGTTTTCTTGTAGAAGTACCTTTTGAACATACTTTCCTGGGATAGATTTTTGGTACATGTGGCAGTGCCCTGTTGGGTTTCGAGTCTGACTCTGAGGTGAATGCCCAAGATCTCAATGTTGGGGTACCCTTTACCAGCTTCCTGGGGCTTCCGACCTGCAGAGGCAGCCCCTAGGCTTCTGCCCTATCCCACTGCCCCATTTACTCCGAGACCTGCCTTCCATCACTTTCCTGGCTGGTGAACACTGGCCCTGAAGGCATTAGGGAAGTTCACTGAGACTTGTTTTTTCCCTTTGTTCCTAGTAATGGTTCCAAGGTAAGTTTTTTTGGCAGGAAAACAACTGTGATGTTTTAGATTAATTCAGGGAAGCTCCTAGTGGACCCCTTAAACATCGCACGCACTGGCAGCCTAATCAGTACTTGCTGCTTTGGTAGTGTGCAAGGACATCTATAGTCCTGGCAATAAGCTTACAGAGAATTTATTCTTTATAATTGAGTGTAAAACATTGCTTTTTAAGGTGTGCTTTTCTGTACTCAAAAAAACTTAAGACTAAAAAACAAGACATTCTATAAATATATGTTTAATAACTTAGTTTTGTAAGTCCACCCCCCCTTTCCTTTCGATTGTTATAATGGAAAACATTGCTTTCAGTGATTAGAAGTAAAATGTTGATGGCAAATTTAAAAGACATTACGATCCTTTATATCTTTTTTCTCTTGGCAAAGCAATTTAATTAGGAAATAATCTTGTCCTCTAACATCTGACAATTACCATAAAATTATATCCCACTTGGTTGGCAACGAAACAGTTTGTTCGAATTTGTAGCAAAATTTTGAGCTTTTACATTACTGTGAAAAGACAGTCAGATTTTAAATTAGAAAGATGAGGTTTAAAAAAAATCAGAAATGCAAAGAACCGCTTTTAAAACGCAATCTCCAATTTTCAGAAGTATGATTTCAGTGGGGCTGAGAGTGGGGAACCTACTAAATCCTTCAGGGAAGGAGAAGGGAGCACCTGGGGAGGTGCTGATCACATCAGAGCTCAGCTCTTGCTGCCTGTGCACGCGTGTGACTGTGTGCACGCACGCGTGTGTGTGTGTGTATGTGTGTGCCTGCGTGTGTGCGCGCGCGCAGCCATAGGGCCGCTGGGGTGCTCGGGCCGCGGGCTTCCTCGCGGCCGGGAGCGGGGCGCGCGTCCCCGGCTGGGCAGACCTGGGTCGTGCGCAAACGCATGCAACGGCGGCTCTTTGTGTGTCTGTGTGGCTCCGCGCCGCCGCGGGCACCATTTTCTGCTCGGCTCGGGACAGGCACATAAAAGGGAAGGCGGTTGCCGCCCGTCGCC